GCGATCCTCGCCATATTGATTTAATCGCTCGCGCGGCAATTTTAAACACGTGTTTTATTAATTTCAAATTTTCGTATTTGATATTTTATAAAACAAAAACATTAATTAATTTAATCGAAATTATTATAAATAATACGATATACTTAATCAATCAAGAATTATTTAATAATGTTATACAATAATAATAATAGAAATAAAAATTGTATTTATCATTGCACATGGATACAGGTCGGTAAAGTGATTTCGCGCGAAAACCAACGTCATTACGGCGCTACTTTTTGTCTTTATGATCCTTTGAGATGCGATTGTTCTGTGAATGCAACCGATCGAGACGCGATTCGAAAAAGAAATAACAAATGATGATCGAATCATAATATACTAGCGTAATCGGCTTTTCGTTGAAATCTCCAAGGTGCGATGACGCGGCGTCTATTACCGGGCGAGAAAGATGCTTGGTATTTTTCACGCCTTTACGGACCGACTCTAATTTCGATTCTTTCAGAGCCCTCGAAAATTACCCCCTTGGCAGGCCGACGAAAAAAAGAGAAAGAAACTAAATAAAACGAGCAATCCGACCAGACGTCGCTTGCAACAATGCATCTGGAGTATCAATCACGTATGTCATTAATGGTTGCGGTTGCGGTTACAAGGCATCGAGAACTATAATTCAGGCGGGTCGGTGTACCCGTGATACAGCGCATTACGTGGCGAAACGCGATTTACGATGTCCATTGTCGCCGACGATACAAAAAAAGACCGTTTCATTTTTGCACGAACCTGTCGGTCTTCGTTCTACTGCAATTTTGTAATTTATCATCGTGATAAGAAAATCTCTGTTCGCTATAATCCTTCCACGCAGTAAAAAGGGAAATGGAATTCGAGGAGAGATTTTTATAAGTTACAAGTGGAAAATATTCGAAACAGACTAAATTCTCGAAGATGATCGTGACACAGCTCTACATTTTATTCGGTGATGTAGAACTCGATCAATTATTTCCTAATCTATCTTATGCAACTTTACCGTATCTTTACCACGAATTCAGCCCTGGTTATTTCGACATCGGTTCGTTCATATTTCTCGCAAAATACGAATAGTAAATTTTTTAAACGATTTTATAATTATTCGATAAAATATCATTTTATAATTAGATAAAATAACAAATATCGACGAATATAATAATACGGAAATTTAATTCAAATAATTCTTAATTAATTTTAAAATATTGTTCAATTTCGAGTAATAAATAAATCACCATTTCTACGCGATTTTTATAGAGGTATGAGGAAAGCGTGAAATGATCGTGTACTCGAAACGGCGTGATAGTTTCGCCAAATTGCCAAAGTTGTTAATTAAACGTTGATCAGTGGAAATTTCTCAAGTAGGAAATTCCTCTCGCGTAAAATATCGTGAAGTGTTGAACTTTCGGGGGGTAGGGGGAGGGGAGGGGGAATATCGTGGAAATTTGGCCGCGAGATCGAGCAAGCGAATT